AATAAAATATAACAAAATTAATTAACCTAAACATCCTAATTTTATATATATATATTTTTTCAAATGACCTGTCCCGACAAAATTTCGTCGGCAAAGGTATTTTTCGTCAGGAGAACTCTAATCCGACAAATATTTGTCGGCATAGACCTCTGCCGACAACATTTCGTCGGGAGAGGTGTTTTTTTGTATTTTTTTTCAATTTTTTTAATATTAAAAATATAAAATAACTTCTTTACTTTTGTTTTTTTGGCCTACTTCTTTAATTTAGTATATGTAATTAAGTAATATGTTAGCCTTTTTTAATTACTCTAATTAGCAATTACCTTTGAAACAACAAATAGAATATTGAAATTAAATATATGGCGTTTGATACAATTTTCTAAATCAAAGTCCTAGCACTAGGGCTTTCATTTCTAGCGAAATTTGTGTGTTTATCTATGCGGCTATACAAGAATGATGATATGAATGTTCAATGCGAATTTACTAGACAAACTCAATAAGACAAAAACATTATATGATATTTGAATTTTAAAAATAATTAGTTAATTAATTAACTAATCGGGTTTAATTTAAATCACAGAGCCCAAGAGCCCCAAGGCCTAAGGTTAACCTTTTGATTAATTAAATATATATTACTTAACCATAACACACCTAATTCTCACATATTATTGAATAAAAATAATATATATATATATATATATATAGATAGTATAGCCGCGCGGCTATTCTCCGAAAATATAATATTTTAAAAGTCCAGCCGCCCGGCTATACCCTTTAAGTAGCTCTCCTTTTTTATTTCTTTGATTAGTACTTATGTTTTACTTAGTGATTATTAAAGGAAAAAAGAAAAAAGAAAAGTTGAATTACTATTTATTAAGTAATACAATTCATGAAGTTAATTAAAAAATGTAATACTAATTATTCACTAAATATATAATTATTAAAATATAATTACTAAGTTAACTAATTAAATGAGGCAAATATATTATTTAATTACTAAAAATAAAATATAACAAAATTAATTAACCTAAACATCCTAATTTTATATATATATTTTTTCAAATGACCTCTCCCGACAAAATTTCGTCGGCAAAGGTATTAAGACAAAAACATTATATGATATTTGAATTTTAAAAATAATTAGTTAATTAATTAACTAATCGGGTTTAATTTAAATCACAGAGCCCAAGAGCCCCAAGGCCTAAGGTTAACCTTTTGATTAATTAATTAAATATATATATTACTTAACCATAACACACCTAATTCTCACATATTATTGAATAAAAATAATATATACATAGAATATCTTCACAGTATAGCCGCGCGGCTGTACTCCGAAAAATATAATATTTTAAAAGTCCAGCCGCCCGGCTATACCCTTTAAGTAGCTCTCTTTTTTAATTACTTTGATTAGTACTTATGTTTTACTTAGTGATTATTAAAGGAAAAAAGAAACTAATGTATAAGTTCAGGTGACATTTCTACAAATATCCCATATATTTTTATCAAATTTAGCTTTAATTCAGGTAGTTCAATTTGTATATGAACGGGCAGCTGCGCCCAATCCACGTTGACTTGACTTGGGGCAGTTTATTTCAAGTGGGTGCCAAACGGTGTCTCGCAGATGTATAAATATCTTGACTTAGACTTTCAATCTCTAATGTCCACAGTTGGCAACTTGGCAGTCACATATGAAATTATATAGATTTCCAAACTAAACAGATTTCAATGACTTACTAAAATTAAATTGCTTAGGCTTATTTATTGATTTGTCATATGAGCTTTACGAAAAATTTCAGTTTATTCTCGGACTTTGTAATTGGGTTAATATGCCCCCGTGCTTTTATCACTTTACTCAATTGCTTCAATTTTCTTAATAAAACTGTTAACTTGATGATGTGGTATAGATATTTTAGTAATTTTAACCACTCAAATTGGAAAACTGCAAGCCATCTAACCATACCAAGTTGTATCTCAATAAACCACTCATCGTTCTTTTTAAAAAAAATATCATCACCCTTTTCCCAGTCGTTGTCTCTTCTGTTTGTTCCTTTCCCCCAACCCCAATCAGCATTTGACTTTGAAAAAACCAAAAAAGCAACATAACAAATCCACAAATGATGCGCAAAATTTAAAATATAAATGAACATACGTTGAAATTGGTTGAGCATACACAACCAAAAAGGAAAGGAAGCACTATTCAAAATACAAGGAACCTGGGTTATTGTGACATAATCACAAACACCTACTATGCCAGATTTTCGGGTCAAATGTCTGCTTGTTCTTTTCTGTTCCTCATTTCTGTTGGAATATTGGGTTTGTGTGTTCTGGCTTCTGGGTTTCTTGGCGGGGAAACATGTGTTTTGGCGACCAATGAGTTTACTCCTTCAATTGTACTTACTTGCCTTGAAATTGGTTGGGCACAAAAGGAAAAAAAAAAAGCAAAATGCATTAGCCTCTCACCATCTATCGCTTCGAAAATATTTAAATTTTGTAACAATTGAGAAATGAGTACATAAAATGTATGTTGGTCTTAGATCCCCATGGCTGATAGGCCTGAGAAACGCAGTATGAAGATATATTCAGCTGCATTAGCAAGTTGCTTTACAATACTCAAGAGATTCTATAGTTGCCCTCTTGAGCTCATCAGCATATCTAAAACACAAACACAATAAAAATTCACATAAGAGATTTAGTGTAAGATTTCATATTTGCTACAAATTCACATAAGAGATTTAGATGTGAGATGAGAGAATTGCTTGAAATGATGACTTCATTTTCCCTCATTTTAGTGTGAGTCATCTTCTTTTTTTTTGTCCATTTTTTTTTCAGTTACAAAATGATGCTTTCAAGAAAATTTCCATTTTTTTTTCTTTGGGATTCAGCCACATGAAAATTTCGATTGAGAGCCTCTGTCGAAGTCTCTGAGGTTGATTAACACTTTATATAATATTGTCGAGCAGCAATGAAATACACTAATCTATTTAGCATAGGATGCTTGCTTTTGTACACTATCAGAAATCGACACCAAGTAACCGAAAAAATCACGAGGTCAGGGTTTATAATTGAGAGAAAACTGTAAAATTGGTGTAATTATATATGCACTTTGAGGATACAAGACCAAATTGAGAAGATGCATGATGCCAAGGAAAGTAATTTGCTGATACTATAAGAAGATGCATGGCCTGATGGGATCCTCGGATAGCATGCTTCCATTCTTCAAGAATGATCTCGGTCTTTCCTCCTCTGTGAATCATGGAATCAATGAGAGCCTGATACGTATTTATATGTACAGGTCATCAAACACAAGCACAAAGAACGAAATAAATTGATCACACATGGAGAAAGTAGTATATCCCATTAATGTTCCTACACCCTCCAGATAAGTTGAATTGTATGTATTAAAAACATTTTGAACTTCACAAGTGAAACTCAAACGGATCAAGTCAGAGAGAGGTGCTTTGCTTGAAAACCTTCATAATTTCTCACAATATAACTCAATTATATAAGTGTAATTATTGTAGATATTCTTCTAATACAGATAGAATAGCATCAACCCCTCACCAGATGAAGGACTGAGCTTCCAAACTACAATTCGGTACGGCATAACAAATGTAATGGATAAATTATTTAAGCTAGCTAGCTAAGGGAAGATGGACTTCTCAATTCGTACAAGTTCTTTGGCCACATGAATCATTTTTGGCCTTGCTTCACTTTGGTTTTGGATGCATGACACTGCAAGTGCTAAACAATCCTGCAATTGCTGTTGTGCATGCCCATCTTCCCCTACCTCCTTCAATATTTTAGGATTCACAATTGTCTGAATTTGAGTCTGGCCATCAGAAACATGAAATTTCGGATTTGCAGTAATGTCCAGTTCTCCTGCCTGATTGCTAGATGCAGCTCTTTGCGTCAAGAGTACAAGTAAAAGCACACCAAAGCTATAAACATCGGTTTTTTGGGTAATGTAGCCAGTTGCAAGGTAGTCGGGGTCAGTGTACCCAGATGCCCTTATTTGGTTATCGCCTTTGACATGGGATTGCTTAGGAGAATCACTTACGGAGAATGAAAAGTTGGAGAGTTTGGGAACATAGTCATCATCCAACAAAATGCAGGTGGATCTCAGATTCATATGAATGATAGGTTCAGAAAAGGCGGTATGGAGATATGTAAGTGCATTAGCAAGCTGCTTCGCAATACGCAGTCTAGTTTTCCATGGTAACAAGGATTGACCTCCATTAGCCCCGCTTAAACTTCCATCATCCCTGAGAACTCCTTTCGCTGCATTTTCATGCACCAGAGCTGGTAGAGGGAACTCTAAGCAGCAACCTAATAATTTCAAAGCATTCTTATGGGAGCTCATCTGCCTTGATATCTTAATATCACGAATAGCACGAGACCTAACTTCATCATTGTCCTTGTCATTCTCACGGATAATGTACTTCCTAATGATAATTGTTCGGTTGTCTAGAACACCCTTGAACATTTGGCAGTCTCCATCATCTTGTATGATGCGAGAAGGATCGAAGTTGTTGGTAGCCCTGACGAGTAAGAGCGAATAGGATTAGATTTTCCATCACAAGAAGCACTGGTCTTCTCTAGTAAGATGCCTCCATTATCCAAGAATGATCTCTCTCTTTCCTTCTTGTTCTTGCTTGAACGTGGAAACAATGGGAACCTAATACATACATAGATAGGTAAAACACAAATGCACAAGAATGAATACAAATTGATGAAATGGAAATAATTAATCAAGAAAAATACAGAACATGGACAGTTTGCTTTCATTTTGTTCTTTAGAACTTCACATGAAATCCAAAGACATCACATAAACTTTTGATTTTTAATACAAGCGATAATCTAGGTGCCATGGTTATTCTCACCAATGTAACCCATAAAATAAAATAAAATTATAAAAAAACAGAACATAACTTACAAGGATTTGGATGTCATTGTTTAGCACCCAGGCCCCTTAGAAACTGGACTCAGATTGCCCCAAGTAAACAATTTTTATTTGTTTAAGAAATACAGTGGGATGCAAAGAAGAACCAATATGTTTTACTTATTTATTTGTTTGATTATTAAATACTAGCATGGGCATGTAATAAATTTTTATTTTTCACATGCGTGATCGATTTATTTATTTATTTTGTATCATGCATGCATGCTCCACCAATTTAAAGGTTCTTATGTTATTTTCCACAATTGATAATCTTATAATTAAACACAAGAAAAAGTAGTGTACAAGAAAAATAAAATAAATAAAAATGAAGCGAGGTGGGCAACTATAGAATCAGATAAAGGGACACACGGGTTGGCTTTTGGTTGGAGAGAAAAGAAGGCTGTTGGAGGATAAAATTGGATTGGGTGTAGGATATAAGAATAAGATGGCAATTATTTTAATTTTTTTAAGGGATGGGCTGGGCTATATAGGCTGGCGAAGTTTTATTTGAACAGGTGAAAGACTGAGCTTAGCATAACAAATGCAGCGGATAAGTAAATTAAGCATCATATCTAGCTAAGGCAAGATAGACTTTTCAATTCGTACGAGTTCTTTGGCCACATCAATCATATCTGGCCTTGCTTCAATTTTGTCTTGGATGCACAACAATGCCAGTGCTAGGAAATCCTTCAGTTGCTGTTGTGCTTGCTCATCTCCCCCGACTTCCTCAAGGATTTTAGGGTCTGCTTAGCATAGCATCAACCCTTTGAACAGGTGAAAGACTGAGCTTAGCATAACAAATGCAGCGGATAAGTAAATTAAGCATCATAATCTAGCTAAGGCAAGATAGACTTTTCAATTCGTACGAGTTCTTTGGCCACATCAATCATATCTGGCCTTGCTTCACTTTGGTCTTGGATGCACAACAATGCCAGTGCTAGGAAATCCTGCAGTTGCTGTTGTGCTTGCTCATCTCCCCCGACTTCCTCAAGGATTTTAGGGTCCGCAATTGTCGCTATTTGAATCTGTCCATTAGAAACATTAAGTTTCGGATCTGCAGTAAGGAATTCAATTTCTGCTCCTCGTTTATGTGCATCTCTTCTTGTCAAGAATACAAGTAAAAGCACACCAAAGCTATAAACATCAGTTTTTTCTGAACTTTTATGATGTATTCGGGAAGCAGGGTCTATGTACCCCACTGTCCCTGATGAGAAATTTTCTTGAACATACAATTGGTCAGGAGGAATGGTTCTGGAGATTGAATAGTCGAAGAGTTTGGGAACATAGTCATCGTCCAATAAAATGCAGTGGGATGTTATACTCCTATGAACGATGGGCCTTGGAAAGGCAGTATGTAGGTATGTAAGTGCACTAGCAAGCTGCTTTGCAATACGCAGTCTAGTTTTCCATGGTAATAATTCATTATCCATTACTAAACTCCCATCATCGTTGAGACCCTGTCCCTATGTCTGTACTTCTTAATGATGACTGTTCGGTTATCTAGAATACCCCTGTACATGTCGAAGTGTAAGTCATCTATAATGCAAGAAGGATCAAAGTTGTTAGTAGCTCTGATGAGCTCAGCAGTAGAGTAACATCGAATAGGATTAGATTTTCCATCACAAGAAGCAATCCCAATTCTAAAATGAAAAGACATAGCATAGCACCCACTCTTTTCATTTTGTTCTTTAGAACTTTACATGAAATCCAAAGAGATCAAATCTCACCTTTCATATATTTCTTACAAACTGAAAAACAATAATAATATATGCTCAGTTGTGAGCATTCCTTTCCTGTTATGTATGGAAGGAAAGAAAAAGAGTTCTTCTGATATAGACCCTTACAACTATTATATCCTAATCATATACCCACCTATTTTTAAATCTTTATAACCCAAATTTAGAATAGGTTGCCATGTGAGATAGATTTGTCCTAATATTATTAACTAAATTACATTATGTGTCACCCCCCTGTCCTATATCCCCACCCACCATGTAAATTTGAAAAAACACAATCCTATCTTTCCACCCACCATTATTCCTAAAATACCAGTTAATTATTAATTTAAACAAATTCTCTATATTTTTTAGTGGGAACGATGTATTTATTTCAATAAAATTGAAACCGATTACAGCCTCAACCAACAAGTTCTTGATGAAAGCAGGAGGGTCCCTATCCCATAAGAACATGTCCATTGATGAAATGGAGCTGATTTTCCCACTCCCCTTTTGTTAACTTACACTCCCTTTGTTGGAAATTGTATGTTCCCACTCCTCTTTTGTCCACTTACACTCTCTTTTATATTAAAAAGTATTTAAAAAAATAAAAGGGAGTGGAAAAATCATCACCCTTGATGAAATAACAAAATATGCAAGACTGTGTGCCACTGTATTGGCATCTCTAGAAACAAAACAAATTGAAGAATTATTTAGTTGTTGAAACAAAAAAACGACAGTCTTCCATTTATACTCCTATTGATGAGTTGTCTGCAATGTTAGATCATTATTAACATACACTTGGGTTTTTGGTTTTGGTTTTAAGAATTTTTTAGTTATTAAAAGTTAACATTGTTTGTATAGGTTAAGTTAATGGACATGTGTCTGTAGGGGCTTTTTTCTTCCG